GATAATAAAGAGGAATTTTCCCCATCATTTGAAATAAGAAATACTGAGAATGATCAATATGCACAATTTACTATAAGTAATAGTGCACCTGTATCTAGTCATGGTGTTCATATATGTAAATCTGGCTACACTTCATATTTTACTTGTGGAGTTGTAAAAGGTTTAAATGGGATTTTCATATCAGGGGAATTTTTTATAACTAACTTAGTCGTTGGAGATTATTATTCCTATCTCGGTGATAGTGGTGGGGCTGTAGTTTCTTTTGTTTCACCACAAGCTTTAAATTTAGTGATTTTACACGGTATACATAGTAATGGTGGTGGTGGGATTTCTGCATGTCAATTGGCTGATACAATTTTCAAGGAACTAGCTTATGATTTTACTAGAATTGATCTTAGAGATCTTACTCTTTATTTGGGGGATTCATAGAAGTATATACCTTTCATGATTTACCTTTATGTTGCTTTGTTTATTGGTCGTATGTTTCGAATTAAGTGCCATGAGATAAATGAATAATAGTTTATAACAATTCACACATTGAAAATATGAGTGTGATTACCAATCGAGGGCACTTCCGACCATCTGAGTTTGACAAAACCACATTGTTCTAACTATATATATATTATCATGATATGTTTCTTTTTATTTATTATTTTTATTTCTTAAATATATATTGTTGCGGCTTATACTGAAATTGACTTATACTGAAATTTTGGGTCTCTATTTGAACCTATAAAATATATCATACTAAAATCCACATATACCCTTTTATTAATAATGCTAACTTAACTATGAAAAAAAAAAGACCGCAAAAAATGCCCCTAAAATTTTATAACTTTACGAAAAAATAGGTCACTATTTCAGCATATGTAGTAATCAAATTATTTTTATGACTTACATTCTTGTTATCCCTATATATAGTGCTTGGATCCGTTCAAAAAATCCGTTGGATTATCTGATTGATATTCGTTTGTATCGGATAACGGATATATATTTACAGATAGTCGGATAACTGTTTAACTATCCGATGCACGATTAATATTAATAACAATGCGTTATACTGTATTAATAGTGACGTATAAATAAATGACATACATATTATATACGAACACATAACTTTTATCTTGATTATAGAATTTTCGTTAATAAAAATACTGTACGTATATATCTTGAGCGTGGAATATATTTTTTTTTACAATTTTTTATAAAAATGGATAACGAAAATTATTTACTCGTGAGAAGCTTCTATAAGTCGTTTAAATAACAATGTTGTCGTATATATTCAATGGACGACTATAAGATTTTGTTTGATGTTTGTCTTTTATTTATTTCCGAATTTGCTTGAACAATTGTGATTTAATTGGAT